ACACACACATACACACACACTAGAATATTATTCAATCTTTAAAAAGAAGGAAATCCTACCACATATGATAATATAGATGAATCTGGACATTATGCTAAGTGAAATAACCCAGAAACAGAAGGAAAAACACTGCCTGACCTCCCCTACATGTGGAATCTAAAATAGACTCATAGAGGCAGAGAGGATGGTGGTTCCCAGGGGCTGGGGTGAAGGGGAAAGGGGAAATATTGGCCAGAGGTAACGTTTCAGTCATACAAATAAGTTCTGGAGATCGAAAGCACGGCAATGTGACCACAGTTAATACTGGATTGAGTACTTGAAATTTGCTCAAGAGTAGGTGGTAAGTGTTCTGGCCACAAAGAAGGGAATGGTTACCAGGGGAGGTGGTGGGTATGTTCATTAATTTGACTAGGTGATAGTTTCACAATGTACACATATATTAAAACATCAGGCTGTACAACTCAAATCTATATTTTTATTTTTATTTTTTAAAGATTTTATTATTTATTTATTCATGAGAGAGAACAGAGAGAGAGAGAGAGAGAGAGAGAGAGAGAGGCAGAGACACAGGCAGAGGGAGAAGCAGGCTCCATGCAGGGAGCCCGACGTGGGACTCAATCCCGGGACCCCAGGATCACACCCTGGGCCAAAGGCGGTGCTAAACCACTGAGCCACCTGGGCTGCCCCAGATCTATATTTTTAAATCATCAATTATACCCCAATAAAGATGGGGGGATCAGTAATACGTGAAAGGTGAAATAATAAAGCTTTTAGGAGAAAACACAGGAGACCACTGGTTGCATAGGGCACCATGTTGCATTTGGTTTATATGTCTTGTTTGATTTGTGGCTCCCTCTCCAAACCCCCTTACAGTTTCACTGTTGAAGGAACTGGGTTCAGGGGCACCTGGGTGGCTCAGTGGTTGAGCATCGGCCTTTGGATCAGGTAGTGATTCTGGGGTCCTGGGATCAAGTCCCACATCAGGCTCCCGGCAGGGAGCCTGCCTCTTTCTCTGTGTCTCTCATGAATAAATAAATAACATCTTTGAAAAAATAAAAAAATCAAATAAAAAAAGGAACCAGGCTCTTCGTCCTATACAGCTTTCCATATTTTAGATTTTTCTAAAATACTGCATCCCCATAGTACAGACCTATGTGGAATTCTGGTTTGAATAAACCAACTATTTTTTAAAGTTTTATTTATTTGAGAGAGAAAGAGAAAGAGAGAGAAGAGTGGCAGGGGAGAGGGAGAAGTAGACTTTCCGCTGAGCAGGGGTTCTGACGTGGGGCTCCATCCCAGGACCCTGGGATCATGACCTGAGCAGAAGGCAGACCCTTAACCGACTAAACCACCCGGGGACCCCCAAACCAACTATTTTAAAAAATCACAAAATTATCTGGGAAACTGGAACAGTGATGGACATTTGACAATATTTTTGAAAGTTGTGTGAAAAAAAAAGTTGTGGGAACTTTTTTACATGCAATGGGAAATTACAGTTATATTGTTTTAAGGAATTCTCATGTTTTAGGTGTACCCACTGAAACAAAATATGATGTCCCCAAATAAACTAGCTGGGCAGAGGGAGGAGGGGAGCTGGAGGGAGGGTGTGCTGGTAAGGGCCTAACAGCAGGCTCCCTGGCCCAGAGGTGGGGGGAGGGGAGCCCCGATGGGGCGTATTTGCCAAATTCCATGAGGTAAACATGCCCATCACAGTTAAGTTCAAACTCCCAGCAGTTCATCATTTGAGAAGAGAGGAAGACGACCAGCTCTTGGCAGACCCGGGCATCCAGCTCCAGGACATCACCGACAGGGGCAGAGGCAAAACAAGACTGGATGGGAGCTGGTATTTGCTGAAATGGAGTGATGAGTCCATGGGGGTTCCTCATCTCTAAATTTTTTTTTCCTGGTCTCTCTAAAGTTTTTGATTAAGGTATGATTGCCATAACATTGTATTAGTGTCAGGTGCGCAACATAATCATTTGATATACATATCAATTCCAAAATGATCACCAGGGGATCCCTGGGTGGCTCAGAGGTTTGGCGCCTGCCTTCGGCCCAGGGTGTGATCCTGGAGACCCGGGATCGAGTCCCACGTCGGGCTCCCTGCATGGAGCCTGCTTCTCCCTCTGCCTATGTCTCTGTTTATCAGGAATAAATAAAAAATCTTAAAAAAAAAAGATCACCACAATACATTTAGTCAACATCCATCACCTCTCATAGTTACAAACCTGTTTTTTTCCTCGTGGTGACCACTTTTACGACCTACTCTCTTGGTAACTTTCAAAGTTTTTTTTTTACTTATTTATTTTTATTTATTTATGATAGTCACAGAGAGAGAGAGAGAGAGAGAGAGAGAGAGAGGCAGAGACACAGGCAGAGGGAGAAGCAGGCTCCATGCACCGGGAGCCCGACGTGGGATTCGATCCCGTGTCTCCAGGATCGCGCCCTGGGCCAAAGGCAGGCGCCAAACCGCTGCGCCACCCAGGGATCCCTCTTGGTAACTTTCAAATATACGATACAGTTCTATGAACTATCCTCACCGAGCTGTACGTTATAGCTCCATCTCATTCTGTATATGCTTGATATTTCTTTATTTTTTCTTTATTTATTTAGCTTGGCATTTCTTTAAAGATTTTATTTATTTGAGAGAGAGAGAGAGCGCGAGCACATGACTGGGGAGAGGGGTAGTGAGAGAGGGAGAAGCAGACTCCTCGCTGAGCATGGAGCCCGAGGTGGGGCTTGAACCCAAGACCCTGGGTGTATGACTTGAGCCAAAGGCAGACGCTTAACGAACTGAGCCACCCAGGTGCCCCTATGCTTGACATTTTAATTACAAATTTTAAAAAGGAAAACCCTAAATTGCAAGATTAAATTTTTTAAGCCTTTTAATGTTACGGTTTATCATTGCAGATAATTATGAATAGAAATCACATGGCCAAAAATAAAAAAATAAAATAAAATAAAGAAATCACATGGCCACCTCAGTGGTTCATGATGACAGTAAGAGCCACCATGTTACTGAGTGCCTATGACCTGCTTGACCCTGGTTTAGGAGCTTTCTGAGGAACAATGTGGGGCTTTTATCATCCTTGTTTTTTTTTAATTTATTTATGATAGTCAGAGAGAGAGAGAGAGAGAGAGAGAGAGAGAGAGGCAGAGACACAGGCAGAGGGAGAAGCAGGCTCCATGCACCGGGAGCCCGATGTGGGATTCGATCCTGGGTCTCCAGGATCGCGCCCTGGGTCAAAGGCAGGCGCCAAACCGCTGTGCCACCCAGGGATCCCCTATCATCCTTGTTTTACAGATGAAGAGATTGAGGAGCAGAAAGCCAAACCATTTCCTAGGGTTATGCTCACACAGCCAAAAGTGGCTGAGTTGGGATTCAGATCCAGGTAGTCCGAGTCCAGAGCCTGGTATTTTAAACTCTGACCCAAGACACTTAATTTTACTTTATTTTGGTTTTTATTTATAGTTTATTTAAGTAATCTCTAAGACCCCGAGGCCAAGAATTACATGTTCTGCTGACTGGGCCAGCCAAGCACCCCACTTAATTTTTTGAAAAAAAAAAAAACACCCCAAATTCCTAGAATGGAAATAAACCCATGATGCAGCCCACCAACAACGCACTGTTTAGGAGAACTGTTTTCTAATACAAATCTGGTGAGTGCCTCCTTTAGACCAGAACTAAACCAGATGATGGTGACCCAGGCAGATCTGGCTCCTGTCCTCATGCAGCACACCTCTGCTGGGAAGCCAAGCTCATTTCCACAATGGGATTTCATTTTGGGGGGGCTCAGTGGAGCAAGATCGCAAGGATTATTGATATATAAAGTTTGGGGTTAGTCTTTTATCAACACGGTGTTCTTTCTGGTAGTTTCTCAGCATAAATCTGTTAAGAGTAATTTTTCTATATTTTGAAAACACAAGAAACGAGTATGGGTGAGGATATGGGAAAAGGGGAACCCTCTTGCATTGTTGGTAAGGCTACAAGCTGGTGCAGCCGCTCTGGAGAACAGTATGGAGGGTCCTCAGAAAATTAAAAATAGGGGTACTCTACAACCCAGCAATTGAATGATTAGGTATTTACCCAAAGGACACAAAACACTAATTCATGCGATTGAGCCCCGGACTGGGGTCTGTGCTTAGCACAGAGTCTGCTTGAAATTCTCTCTCCCTCTCCCTCTGTGTGCTTGCTCGTGCTCTCTAAAATAAAATCTTAAAACACACACACACACACACACACACACACTAATTCAAAAGGATACATGCACCCTTATGTTTATTGCAGCAGTACTTATAATCACCAAAGTATGGAAGCAGCAAAAATGTCTATTGATAGGTGACAGGATAAAGAAGATGTGGTGTGTGTTGTGTGTGTGTGTGTATGTGTATATATATATATATATATATATATATATATATATATTACATATGCAATATATACATATTATAAATAATAATCATATATATATATGAATATTACTTGGCCATAAAAAAGAATGAAATCTTGCCATTTGCACTGACATGGATGGGTCTAGAGAGTATCGTGCTAAGTAAAATAAGTCAGAGAAAGACACACATCATATGATTTTGCTCATATGTGGAATTTAAGAAACAAATGAGCAAAGGAGAAAAAAGAGAGAGGTGAACTCAGAAACAGAGGACGTACTGCTGGTCACCAGATGGGAGGTGAGGGGGGGGCTGGGGGAGAGGTGATGGATGAAGGAGGGCACCTGTCGTGATGAGTGCCGGGTGATGTGTGCAAGGGCTGAATCTCTATGCTGTACACCTGCAACTAATGTTAGACTGTATGTTATCTGGAAGTTAAATGAAAACTTAAAAACATAAAACAAATGTTTTCACTTTTTGTCATAGCATGGACTATTTTGCTCACTCAGCAAACAGTTACTGGGTACTTCCTCCCCACTACGCGTGGTGCTAGGCACCAAAGGGACAGTGGCGAACAGGGCAGGAAAGCCCTCTCGTTCTAGGAGCTCCATCACCAAGGTAACTAGGAGAGTCACGAGGTCCATCTACAGCAAGGTCATGTGGTGGCGGTGGCATCACTTCAGAAGCGTGATCAGGGAAGGCCTGCCTGAGGAGGTGATACTGGCCTGAGACCAGAAATGTGAGGCGAGGCAGGAGCTGGGGCAGTGGAAGGTCCCGGGTGTGCTCCACATCACTGAAGCACACATTTTGAGACACAAATGTGTGCTTATAATTTAAGGATTTTCATGACACCACCCATGGCTCTCCGGCGGGGCCTCTCAGGCTCTATAGAAACACAAGCCAAAAGCGGAGAGTTTGGCTGGGCCAGGTGGACATGGGGGCGGGGTAAGGAAGAGGGCAGGTGATGGGAAGACTCACCTGTTGGAAGCAGAGTTGTAGAATGAACCCATGGGGAAACAGGAGGGCATTTCAATCAACTTCCTGGTGAAATGAGTGAGCTCATCAAAGTGGCTCTCTCGATTCTGGGGAGGTGAGTCTAGGACTCCCCTGACCCCCCAACGGCCTGGACTGTTCTACACACCCACTGCTTCAGAGGTGGAGGTCAAGTCTGAGTATATTTGAGGTCAGCTGCTGGAAATAAGGATCCATGAGCTGGAGGGAATAATCAGTTTCTCATTTTTTTTTTCCGAAAAGAAACAATCAAAGAAAAAAATTTCTATGACCCTGTTTCCCAAGGTTGGGGATCCTCAAAGGAAAGAGAGAGTCTCCATTAAACTGGGTTTCAGTGAACAGGGACTTTAAGCAATGGATAATTATACACAGGGCTGGGATTACCAAACAGCCCTTCAGACAAAGGCTAAGAATGCTTTTGTGTTTTCTCATCTTTTACTCCCTGATTGTCTGGTATTGCTTTAAAATTTCATAGATCACTAGCAAAGTGGGGATCCTTGGACATTGTAATAACTGGCCAGTGAGGACATTCTAAACTATGTTCTTTAGGGTTTTATAATTTAATAGTGCTGAGCAAACATCTGAAGACCCATTAAAAATCACACTGCAAAAAAAAATTAAAAATCACACTGTATTTGGTAAATCTGCAATTATTCAATATTTCTCCCTCTGTTTTGTCTTTCTCAATTATTAAGTAGCCTTTGTTGGCAGTGTCCACAATGACAACATTTTTCCGATGCCTTTCAAGTGTGAAATGTCTTAGGCTCCTAGAGTTTGAGGAACCCTCCAATGTAGTTCCGTTTGGGTAATTTGCTGCTACAATTTCTTTCCTTAGCTTCAAACTGAAAACTTTAAAAAAAAAAGATTTTATTTATTTATTCACGAGAGAGAGAGAGAGAGAGAGAGAGAGAGAGCAGAGAGGGGGGGGCAGAGACACAGGCAGAGGGAGAAGCAGGCTCCACGCAGGGAACCCGACGTGGGACTCGATCCCGGGTCTCCAGGATCGCGCCCTGGGCTGAAGGCGGCACTAAACCGCTGAGCCACCTGGGCTGCCCACTACTGGATTTAAAACCCTGAGAGAGTAGAAGGTAAAGTTGATCACGTAGCCCCTGCAGGTACTGTAACTCAACTGCACACTTGCTGAGCGCCCGCACTGTCTCGTGTGCTACTGCTCACCTATGTGTGAATCCAACGATAAAAACAGAAATGATGGAGTATCCCCAGGACTGTTTGATACTTTGCCACTCGTATACATACAACGTTAACACTAAAATTCACACCTCTTGGGTGTTTATGATGCACTAGGACCTGTCAAATACTTTTAAATACTCTGATCAATTGTAAGAGACTTTAGATACTATTTGTGCCACGTTGCAGGATGGTATAAATTATTCATAACACATCATACTACAACAAATATTCTATGACATAGTTTCGTCTATAATCACACATACAAAAAAATACAAAAAAAAATCACATACAAAAAAAAATCACATACAAGTGAAATACGTATTGAATTATATATAATCAATATACTAAACACTATAAATTGTATTATAGATTAATATTGTGCTATATTTTAATATTATTGCATATATTCATTTCATATATACATGTAAAAGCTGATGTACTACATACTAAATTATATGTAACGTATTATACCATATTACATTATATTTATGATATAAATATAAGCTCCCTAAGGGGATACATAGCAAACAGGTATGATTAGATGCTTCCAGGGAGGGGATTCAAAGGGGGAATCTTTCTCCTGGGCCTCAGGGGCAATTTTTAATTGATGTAAATGGTATTATGATAGAGACCTTCATTCAGTTTTTCCCCCCACCCACAACCATTTTTTAAAGATTTTATTTATGTATTCATGAGAGACACAGAGAGAAGCAGAGACACAGGCAGAGGGAGAAGCAGGCTCCCCGTGGGGAGCCCGATGCAGGACTGGATCCCAGGACCCCAGGATCAGGCCCTGAGCCAAAGGCAGAAGCTCAACCACTGAGCCAGCCAGGGGCCCCTAGAACCATTTTTAAGATCTACCCACATTGCTGTGTGTGTGCCTAGCACACTGCTTCCAATGTCCACACGTGGCCGCTGTATCAGTCAGAGTGTATTGCCCTACAGTAACAAAGATACCCCAAATTGAAATAGTTTAAAGCCACAAGGGCTGACTTCTCATTCATGCTTCCTGTTCACTCTAGATTGGGAGGAGGGCTTTGCTCCCTGCAACCACCCAGGGACCCGTGCCCCATCTCTGTTGCTGCCAGGTGCTATGCCAGAGGTAAAAGAATGTCGTGCACTGACTTGATTCTCACCTGAATGTGAGACACATACCTTCTGGCTGTATTTGATGGTCAGAGAATGTCACATGGTTCCACCTAACTTTTAATGGCAGGGAAGTCCAGTCCTACCATGCGACTATAGAAAGAGAGAGGGTCAGAATAGTCACAGACAGTCCCGGGAGTAGTGTCACACGCCCTCATGTTGCATCTCCCTGTCCCCCCCAGACGATGGTATGATGAACAATCCCGCATGTGTCCCCCGCGGGCCCACTGGACCATTGCTGTGGACTATAACCAGGAGTGGGATTTCTGGACAGGTGGGCAGCTGCTTAATTTCACTAAGGGCACCAGATCCTTCTCCGGGATGGCTGCTCTAGGGCACGCTATAAGCAGACACAAAGGTGCATTTATCCCCATATCTTGCCAATGCTTGACAATAACCAGTTTTTTTAAATTTTGCCAGTCAAATGGGTGTAAAATGATAGCTGTAATTGCTCTAAATTGTAGCTCTATGATCTCTAATGAGTTTAAGTATCTCTTCATATGCTTATTGATTTTAGATTTCTTTTGTAAATTGCTTGCTCATTTTTTTTCTATTAGGGTTTCTATATTTTTCTTATTGATTTTCAAGAGTTACTTGTAGAGATCTTTGCTGTATATTCTTTAGGATCTTTTGGATGTAGCCTAATATGAATATGGATATACTCCTGTTCCGCATCTCATCTCCCAACTCTTCGGAGAAAAAAAAATCTCAAGAAAGGAAGATAGATCAGGCTTGAATAAGGAGACATGCCTGAGCCAATCAAAGGTGACTCAGATGGAGGCCCCTCAGAAAGTTAAAGATGGAGCTACTCTAATACCCAGCAATTGCACTACTTGGTATTTATCCAAAGGATACAAACATAGTGATTCAAAGGGGCACCTGCACCCCAATGTTCATAGCAGCAATGTCCACAAGAGCCAAACTGGATAGAGTCCAGATGTCCATCCATAGATGAATGGATAAAGAAGGTGTGGTCTATATATGTATATATACAATAGATACTACTCAGCCATCAGAAAGAATGAAATCTTACCATCTGCAACAATGTGGATGGAACAAGAGGGTATTAAGTAAGTGAAATAAGTCAGAGGAAAACAAATACCATATGATTTCACTCATATGTGGAATTTAAGAAACAAAACATGAACATAGGGGAAAGGAAGGAAAACCAAGAGTGAGGGAGACAAACCATAAGAGACTCTTAACTTTAGGAAACAAACTGAGGGTCACTGGAGGGGAGGAGGGTGGAGGGATGGGGTCCATGGGTGATGGGCATTAAGGAGGGCATGTGATGTGATGGGCACTGGGTGTTATATGCAACTGATGAGTCACTAAACTCTACCTATGAAACTAATAACACACTCTATGTTAATTAAATTGAATTTTATTTTAAAAAAAGATTTATTTATTTGAAAGAGAGAGAGAGAAAGCAAGAGACAGAGCACAAATGGAGGGGGAGAGGCAGAGGGAGAAGCAAACTCCCCGCTGAGCCGGGAGCCCCACGCCAGGCTCAATCCCAGGACCCCAGGACCATGATGAGCTGAGCCGAAGGCAGATGCTTCACCAACTGACCCCCCCGCAGGGGCCCCTAAATTGAATTTAAGTTTAAAAAAAAAGGAGATTGGGAAGGTGGCTCTATAAAATGACAGCTTCTATTTAAACCACAGGGCAGGAACAGAAAACTTTCCCAGAACAAGTGGGGGGTGCGGGGAGGTGAGAGGAAGGGAGGGATGTTCTTACAGGCAGACAAAGAGATAGATGATCATAGCTCAGTGTTTGGTGTAGGAAGTAAGGTCACACATCCAGGATGCCTCTGATTACAAGTCATTTTTTTTAAAGGAACATATTGGCTCCAGTAACTCAAAAGTCACTGTGGGTAGTGGGTCCGTTGGATCTTGGTGCTCAAATAATGTCATCAGATCTCCATCTTTCTTTCCCTGTCTCTGAGAAGCTCTCCCCAACATGTGCGTGGTAGCCTCTATCACCAAACACACAGAGTACCTTAACAAGCGTAGCGTAAGGAAAGTGGTTCTTTCCTAATCATTGGGGTAGAAAAAACTATTTCAGGGAGAAATTCTGATTGGCCCAACCTATATCACATGCCCTTCCCTGGACCAATCCCTGTGGCCAGAGAGATGGAGATGTCTGGTCACACCTGGATGAGGTCACCCCATGTCAGACCACCATGAGGTTGCACCATCGGGGCAAGAGAAAGAGCAAATATAATGGACAGGGACAACCCAGAAATGCCCCTTTTCTGCCT